GACATGATCATGCTGTCTTCAATCTCCCAGACTTGCGCATTGAGTTGGACGCTGGAGGAGGCACGAGCTCGCCAGTGAAGTGCCCATAACGCCTTTTCCGCTGATGAATAAGTGGACAGACGACGACTATTGAAGGTAGTTGCTGCCGTCTAGTTTGTGTCCTGTGATACAGGATGATGACATCTCACTCACAGCTCTGGTGGTTGTTGTGTGGTGATAGGAATCAGAGGAAACCTCTGGTGGAGAAGACGGTAACTTACCCATGGCCATTGAAGACGTTGGCTCAGCAAGGATCTCTTTTCTTTTGGATCAGGTAAGCTCTGATACTATAAAAAATTTAATAGAGGAAATAATGCTTTTGCTTCTCATTTCCATTCATCAAAGGTGTATATATACAACCTAAATTTTAACAAACTCCTAACAGAATTATGGAGAGGAAGAAATAACAAAATTTGGTTATTCTTCACCAAATTTGTGACCGTCTTTGTTTACAATAGAAAACAGAAATTTGTGTGGCTAACAAAACTAATTTAGAATTTATTTCCTTATTTTTCTACACTAACTCTTCATTTTACGATGAATTTATTGGCCCGTTTGCTATCAAATTATTTTTGCCCTTTTAGGAGATGTTCAGTTTAGATATTTGTTTTAGTTACAAAAATAAATATTGATTATTAATAATATAATAATCAAGATGGCTTGCATTTGTTTCGGTTTTTAGGTATGATGTTGCCTCATTCCTCACATACCGGGTTCTTTATTCTGGTGAACTTGTAAGATTCTTCTACATTGATTCTACTCCTATTTGGACTACAAGGAATATTTCTAATAAAGGTGTCCTACAGTTATAGTTATATCAAAAAATGCTTTGGTTTTATCTCTGGTAATTTACACCCATGTTTATTTGTATTTGGCAAAAATTTATTCACAATCAATTATAACAATGGTGCATCTCAAACTGAAGTTCATATTTGGCTCCCTTTTTGTGTTGCTTTTCTGTTTCTTATACCGGCTTGTATTGAGAATCACAATGATTGACTTAGCTCACAATTAGTTTTTAACAAAAGTATTTAGCATTTATTTTAGAGGCAACTAGCCCTGAGATTTACTTGATCTCTCTCTCTATGTCTCTTGCACACTCGTGCACGCATACACAAGCACACACAAGAACATAGAAAAGATGCAAGCGAACAATATGTTTTGAATTGTAAGCAGTCATTGAGCTCCCATATTATGCAAAGCTTGTCAAATGCCCATATTTTAGCAACTGTACAAACTTCTGACAGGAAGTCCGAGTACGATTCTCTGGATTCCGTAACACAGATGATGAGTGGGTGAATGTAAGAAGAGGAGTACGCGAGCGATCTATCCCTTTGGAACCTTCAGAATGTCACAGGGTCAAGTTCAGGGATCTTGTGTTGTGCTTCCAGGTATTTGTTTACTATTTTTTTTATTATCTACTTTTTAGAAAGTCCTGAAAAACATCCAGGAAATTTGAAGAATAAGATCATAGCTCTGGTGCTTTGGACCTAAACCTTGAAAAATAAACACTGAGATGATCTTGGTTAACTGATTCTGTCCTAACCATACAGGAAGAAATAAATAAAAGACATACTAGGGTTTTCTAGCTCACTTCTGTTCTCTCAGTTTTTTCTCCAACACCTCAGTTACCAGGAGAACACTTAGGCCACGTACCTTTTTGATCTGGATCTTCCTTATTACGTTCTTCTTGAGAAAGCTAAATAAGACAAAATTGAATACTTTTTTTCTTGCTCTCCTTATTCAGGTTAATGAAATCACAGGTTGGCTTCGTCCAACCAAGAAAAAACTGGAAGAAAGAAAGCCTGCATAAACTAGGCCAGTAGTGTAGCATACTGGATTCAAAGAATAGGTTTTTGGAGTAAGAATATGTTGTTAGTAGGTCTAATTTTGCGCCCTTCTTCTGAATTTCCAAGACCGGGTTTTGAAAATAAGCAAATACCTCTTTGTTGCCAAAGTCTGACTTTTCCTAGACTATATTTTCCTAATTCTTGTCTACTTCAACAGGATAGAGAAGCTCAATCCATTTACTTTGATGCACACATCATAGAAATACAAAGGCATTTGCACGATCCACAGAGCTGCAGTTGCATCTTCCGTGTTCGTTATGACCACGACGGTACTGAGGTAAATCTATCTCCTTTTTTGAGAGAAAAGGCAAGTCTTTGTTATTATACTATGTACAGGCACATTTATCCTGTATGTAATGTACCTCATGACATTGTTTTGCTGAACAAAAGATAGGAGCATGTTTCTGATTCTCTTCATGTACCCGATACCAGGAAAACGTTGGATTGGAGAGAATATGTTGCAGGCCTATGCAACATTAACTAGTTTTTGGCTCTTCGTGAGGATCAATATGTTTGGAATTAGGAAAGTGAAGAGAGAGGGGGAAAGCAGGGGAATCGTATATTCTTATTCTTCTGTTCAAATTAACGTAAAAAAAGAAAAAGAAAGGGAAAGAGAAGGATTGTGAGCATTTTCTTCGAATTTTTTCTTTAGGACACATTACCATTTGTCATGTTAATATTGTTTTTTTTTTTTTACTTTTTTTTTTTAAACCAATTATAATTGGATATTTACTGTTTTAATTCATGAAATTTGTCATATAACTGGAAAAGCTTTTGTAGAAAACGACTTGAGAGTTCTGTTTCCTTATATTTTGTTTTCAATTGTACTTAAAAATGATATCTAAAGATAAACATTATTAGATTTAATAAAAAATTAATTTATTGATGATGATAAAAAGACATGAAAAACAAGAGACTTATGATGATTGTTTTATTATTGTTAATTATATTTTATATTAAAAAGGTTATACAGAATTTAATTTTCTATTTCTGGAAGAAGATAATCAAAATGAACAAATTGTTTCAAAACCAAGTTGAAATATTTCCGTTTGGTTTGAAGCTAAACTAAATAAATCCAAAACATAATTGAGATTTGAGACCCAAGAAATCTCACAATGTATTTTGATTTGGTGCCAACATAAAAATAAAAGGACTCTTACCTTAACTTTCTTCAATTTCTAGTGTTTCAACTTGAATTATCACTTTAATACGAATTATTAGTTAAAACAAAATATGTTAAATTTAATGTGTAATATTACAATACATTTTCTATATTTTAGATATTATTTTTAAAATAAATTTCTGACTTTGGAAAACATTCTATGAACTTTATGATTTTAATGCGGAGTTTTAAAATCATATTTTCTTTAACTTGTTATTTAAAAATATTATAAAAATTTGCAAGATTTAGATAAATTTTTAGTTTAAAAGAAACAATTAAGAAAATGCCAGATTTTTTTACAATATATTTGCTAGAAACATAAAATAATCACATGCAGAAGATAGGTAACGAACTACTCACATACAGCTTTGACTGATTACTAACTTCCGGTCACCTCAGCGAAAGTGATCTTCATTAGAGCTCTACCCTAAACAATTTATGATAAAATTTACAAAACAAAAAAACATAAAAAGATGCCTGCAACCAACACCATTTAAAGGGTAATAAGCCTATTCCTGTTTTTGATAATCATCCATAATGCTCTTACAAATAGAAAGAGCCCCCAAAGTACCTATTTCACTCCTTCAATACTGTACATAGTTAAACAACAAACCCCCAACGACTGGAGCATTAACTTTCAACCCATCATCAGATAAGGGTGATTCCACACAAATACGGACCAACTTACAGTTTCCCTATATTCTGCTGTATATATATATATATATATATACCATGAATACAGGTAGTCAAAGCCTGTATTCTTCAAAATTTCTCTAATCCTAGTTGATGACCATTTTAGGTCAAGGATTTCCGACTTCTCAACAAGATAGCTGAGACACCACCATCATTTTATTGTCAAGAGGGGTCTCAAAGAAGATCACGGGCAACAAACCTCATGATACTGTTCGCCCATAACAAATAGATGCAATATAAAGATTCTTCGACCACTTCTCCTGCAATTAAAAAGAAAAAGGGATTATGTCAGGAATGAAGAAAATTTTAGTTGTATAAACATAAAATACCCACCTTGACATGTGTACTGGGAAAAGCAGAAGTTCTTAGGGTCTCTTGTGTTTCATCTAGAGGTTTTCTTCGCGGCATGCTAAGAACAAATGCAGCCTGGTCCCATGTTGCTGCAGTTGCAGTGATTCGAAACCCAGAATCCCACCGCTTATGAATACCCTCACTAGGATAAAGAAAGTCAAGTTCCACAACCTATGCTTGATACCATCATAAACTGGTTAGTCATGCTCCTCTGGCACATTACTGTGAAAAGGCATCATTAAAAATCCTAGCTCACCTGATCGGAATATCCTGCGCCACGAGACATAACGACTCCCCATCTACTCCCTGAAGTGGCCATTGAGGTCACATAGAAGCCCTCGCGCCATTTTTTGTTAATCCACTTGAAAGGAAATGAATCACTAACTTTGTAGGACTGCTGCAAGTACTGGGTACCTGGCTTAGTGAAGTAAAATTAGTTAAGCAAACAGGAAAGCTAGCTAGCTATCAAAAACGAAGATTTCAAGGTTGCTGCAACCCACCCTTTGACATAACTACAAGGGAGCTCCCATTAGCAGCTCCAGCAATGGCACTGATATAATAGTTCTTTTCCCACTGCGCCATTATCCATTCCTTCAAAGAAAATAACACATACATTAACAACTTCATGTACTCAAGAGGCAGCAGAGAGTTGAATTTGTAAGTAAGTAGAGAGTAAGCCATAAATAAAATGCAGCAAAGAGAGATTCAAAAGTCTGTACTTTGTGTAGAAAATAGGGTGAGAGTTCATAGACTTGTGCAGTGAAACCAGTGCCAGCATCCATAATAAGGGCCCAAAGATTTTGGCATGAAGCCACACTGCTAATGAATAAGCCATCCTCGTTTCCTTTCTGAATATGCTGTCCAAGCCTGACATCAGCCACATTATAGTGATACCTACAACATGACAGCAACAAAATTTTATTCCTCATCTGAGTTTTATGCTTCAATATTATGTATCTAAGCTTGAAACTGGGCTTACAAGAAAAGGCAATAAAAACAAGACCACTAAAAGAAAAAAGAGTTAAATAATCTCAAATATCAATAGCATAGAGCATAGCAACTGACTAGACAGACTAATACCTTTGCTTCATTGGCCTACGAGCATTGTAGACACTGATCCACTGAGTTGCCGGCATGCCCATCCTGACTTTCTTCTTTGGTTGTTCATCTTCTTCATCCTCCATAGTTAATCGACCTCTCTTATGGCCAACCTGATAAATAAGCTACACAAGCAGAAAATATATAAATTTGTATAATGAAAAAGAAGTTAAACCTTCCTAACATTAAGATGTACTTATTTCTTGACAAACATACAAACGAAACTTCATCCAAACAATATATCCTAGACTGAAGGAGAAAAAGAAACTATTACGTTCTATTTGGCTCATTTTCCTGTTCAATCCCTAGTTAATTCTTACTACTAATTTTTACATTATTAAAAGATCAGAAAGAAGTACATGAAAATGACAAGAAATTCTCCAAAAACACAGAAAAGAAGAAAAAGACAACATCAAAACAACATTGCATCTCAATCCCTTTTTGAGATAGCCAAAACGATATCCCTCAAATAACCATGAGTCTTGGCCTACAAAGCACCAAAGAAAGCCATTCTATCTTTTAAGTTTAGCATTATGCTACAACCACAACAGACCCAAACCAGCATTAAAAAAAATCTAATATTTTGAATCAAGAATCGTGAATCGAGTTGAATCATAATATTTGGAACAGAGTTTATTAAGTAGAATTTATCACTATGTATGTTATATAATAAAAATTCGTTAAAACAAATATTTTAAAAATCATACTAATATCATGGACACTAAAAAAATACTGTTTCCAAAATAAATTGTATAAGCAGTTTTTACATGAACATAATTTATTTTTTAAAAATAACAAAAGACAATTGCCTCTATCCTCCTTAAAATTATAAATAAAAATGAAAATAAATTATTTAAATATTATATTAAAACTAGTGTTAACTAAAATCGAATCAATCATACAAATCAAACTGAACGTGTTATTCGCTGTTAATTCTCACAATTTGCCTACAACTCAGGATAGATTGTGATTCATTCATACAATTCAAATCTTTTTGTCTTCTAATAACATTGTGTACATTTGGAGTCATGAAAGGTACAATTCTAACAACTGTCTTTATTTGCAAAATCACAAAATTTTTGTAGTCTGGATTACCCATACCCTCAACTTAAATTCTTTAGAGATGGGAATTGAATGGAAAACAAATAAAATGAGCCACATTTTACCTTTTGTGCACCTTCTGTGTTAATGGGCCTGATATCTGGATTTGGACCAACAATTCCATCAAAGAGGGAAATGTACTTTGCATAATTAGGCTCCTCATCAAATTTCAAATTTACCACATATTCAACAAACTGCCTAAAAGGCTGAGGACAGAAGCAACACAAAGCTTCTGGAGAGGTTGCCATCTTTTTTTTACAAACAAGGAAACCTTTATTCTCTCCCTGGCATCATTTGAAAAAATTATACACAAAACCAAGTAGAAATATGGCAAGACTATATCCTTAAAAAATAATTGTATATAAAATTTTGCATAAGGTCTGGAAGAAATTGCAATCCAAGAAAAGAAACTGAACTAACTTGGTATCCTTGCCAGGGCAATCGACCTCGGAGAAGGAAGATGAGTGTGTATGCAAGAGATTCAAGATCATCTCTCCTGCTACCAGTTCGCCCCAAATGAGCATGTACACTAGCATATCGCACTGTTCCCCTGTAGTATGAGTGGACTTTTCAATGAAGGAATAGAACAATATCCCAGATGAAATATATTATGCACGTATTTTCAGACACCATTAGATGCAATCAGGTCTTACCTGAACACATCTGGCCTTTGGTCATAGTCAACATGCATGCCAGTTGAACTTTCACGCCATTTAGTAGCTGCTTCCAAATAACAAGTTGTAAAATTGGATATTCCTCCACAATAAGTACTGAAAATTACACTTGATTATGAATTACCTAATCCAAGATCAACAAGAAACAATTTCTTCTCATCAGGGGTTCCTGGAGGACCAAGCAGAAAATTCTCAGGTTTTACATCTCCATGAACGTACCTGCAAGGAGAATTGCATTTACCACTTTCAAAATCCATATGTTTTCTAACTCCACAAAAGCCAACTAAGCATCTGAATGAAATCATCTCGTGTACTTAATATTTAGCAATGACAAGATATATTTATTAAAAAATTCAAGAAAGGAAAATAAATCTAACTACTTCCAGCAAAGGCTCTTAACCTAGCAGAGAATTACAAAGAATTAAAGCGATCAGAAAGTAAGTCAGGTCATCATTACAAGAACAACATGGGCACGTTTTGCAACAGAAAAGATTTTACCCTCGAGAGTGCATCTTCTCCAATATAGATATCGCTTCAATGGCAATGCATGCAACCATTTCAATGGACATCCTGCAAGTATCAAGATGCCAATCTCAGAAATCAAATGGAAGAAAATCCTATAGTAATAGAAACAAAACTTGAAGAAAATGAAAATCAAAAGTATTTATAAATTAATTTTCCACAAACTCACGTGTGAGCGTTATTATTCCAAACATCCCACAAGCTTGGTCCTAACATGTCCATTACCTGCAAACATTGAGATCCAATGAAAAAAAAAAACATTCTACAACATGGGAAAGGAAGCTGAAGAATACATCACAGACAGGTAACAAAACAATAAGATGAAAACATGATCAAGCAGCAAAAAGGAAAACAATAACATACCATTATATAATAGTCACCTTGGCGACCCTTGTAGTGCACACGCGGTACACCATGACTCCGACCAAGATTGCTGCGGTGGAGACAGCAAATAAGAGTTATAAATGTGGAAGACACAATTGTAGAATCTTAATATTCACAGTTCAAATTACAAGATCCAATTCAATTCGATGACAAAATCATTTGAATTGCATGGGTGAATAAGAATCTGTGATGAATCCTAAGCAGATTCTGGAAACCGATTATGCGATTCACCAACTATAGTTAAAACCGAAACATAATCAAATAATTAGACAATTTCCTTTCATTTAGTTACAATTTACAAGTTTGATAACAATATAGGTCACTGCCTTTTAAAAACAAATTATGTTCATATAAAAATATCATATATTTAAACTTTCTCTGGAAACAAATATTTTCTCAATTTTCTACAATACTAGTATCAATTTTGAAGATATTTTATTCTAGTACTTTTTATTTATACAACATATATTACGGAAAAATATCTGGATTAATAAAACATATTCTAAATCTTAAGTTTCAGTTAATTTTCATGATTTTCAATCCCAAAAAAAAATTAGATTTTTTATTCCAAATTTGATAGATGTATTTTTATTCCAAATTTGATAGAGTTAACAACTGCAACAGGAAAAACAATAATAAAAATAATATAGCAAAGACTTAACCGTACTCACTTGTAAACAGTCCACTCGTATGGTGGTCCATAGTTACATCCTTTGCTACTTCGATGTTCAAATTTCAAAGCTACCTGGAAGATAATGGTCACCAGGAATTGATTAAAAGATATGACAATAAATCTCTATATGTGCATGGAAGAAGCATTTAAAGATAAAATAGATACCTCTAAAGCTCCTGCGCCAGTTCTCTCACTTGTATTTGCAGGAGAAACACGTCGACCGACATATACTTGTCCAAATCCACCCTTTCCCAGCTTCCTTTCTAATTTGTACAGAGGGGAACCCCCAACTTGAACCTGTGGCCGCATAGTGAAGAACTCATATTCATTCCCCAAAAATTTAAAGTTCAGAGTAGCTATTTAAATAATTCAGAATTTTGGCAAAGTACTTATTTAGAAAGAAAAAAAGAATAAAAGCAAATATTTACCAAAAGAACAATATCTATGTTATTGTACACTAGTGATCCTCGGTGGTTCCTTATCTGGGGTTGGAAGGGGCAGGCGCGTAGCTTACTCTTGTTATCAGTACCTGGACCAATTTCCAATCTATTCTTTCCTCCCTACCACCGATCCTCTAAGCATTGGTAAATGTCCTCAAAACACAGCCATTATCAATTTTTGCGAGGAGATTCAGAGCAACAAAGGGTTTCATTTGGTGAATTGTGAATTAGTCAAACAGCCTCTTAATATGGGTTTAACCTTGGGTGATCATGGCATCAACTTTTGGGGTGTGTTTTAAGATGATGCTTCTTGGTAAATTACTTTTCTTAGGGATTTTTATGGAGGAAGGTGAATAGAGCCAAGTTACAAGTTGATGACAATAGGTTGGTGACCCAGGCAGTATAATCAGGTTCTTATCTTATGGCACCAGTGCGTGGAGGTGCATTAGTACTGGGTGGAAGGTTTTTGCTGATTATTTCCACACTAAGGTTGCCTCTACATCACGAGTCAATTTCTGAGAAAATGATTTGGTGAATGATTGTTAGTAACTATTGCTGAACAAATGGCTTGCTTTAAGGAATTCAAAAAGATTGGCAAGAGAGAAATTATGTTTACCCAATGCCTTTCTTCCATCTATGCGGAGCCATATAGGGGGATGAGCCTATTCTGAATCCAAATTTCACAGGATCCTTCTGAGTCAAGTCCTTTTTCCCTTCATCTTGTTCATCCTTCTATTGTCTCATTTGTGTTCCCACATACCCAAAAAACATGAATATGAATGTCTACTGAGAAACTTTCTTTATTTCCTGGAAATCCACTCACATGAGAGTACTTAATATTGACAACCTAATCAAGGGTAAAATCCTTGTGAATGGTGGCTTCCTTTGTAAAAGAGTAACTGAGACCCCAAACCATTTTTTTCACGTCCCTCTTCACCACTTATAGTTTATTGCTTTTGACTTCCTCAAGTTGAATGTGTATGACTAACTCTATTACAAATGAATTCCAGGCTTAATTAGTACGGCATCCATGTCAATTAGAGCAGAAAATGCTTCTCTCTTCAATCCAGTAGCCATTCTGTGGGATCTTTGGAAAATTCCTCTTCTGAGATAGTTTGAGATTTACAGTTCCAGACCATCTATTTTTGTTTAAGGGTCACAAGCTCACTTTGGCAAACAACTTCATACTTTTATTAAAAAAAAAAGCTCACTTTGGCAAACCATTTGGGAGGCATCATGGATATTTCAACAAGTTTGCAAACTCTCTCCGCCTATTTCTAGTTTTCTTTAACTGTTCTTAAATTTTATCACTATCTGTTAGTAGATTCCCTTGGCTTTTACAACATTATCCTACTGGCATATACTATATTTTGCCAGTAGTAATGACAGAATGTATTCGGTTTGAATCTTACATTGCAAAAGTTCTTTGTCTAACACAACACTCCAAAATCCAAAAGCAGGTGCTACACATTATTTTGGTACCTCAAAGTTGTTATCACTGTAACTGTGAATTTGAATTATCTTTATCAAGTCTGTTGAACCAAGGAAGATCATCAAAATGTATCACTTATTGTACAGACTAACAGTGGCTGCTTATCGCAGTTACTAATATCCTAGCAACCAATACACAAATAAATTTATAAAGTAACTGTAAAAGTCAAAAGATTTGTATGACTAAAAAGGGAAGATAAGTATGATATCATTTCTCATCATTATCAGGCTAACACGTGAAGAATTCAAGACTACTAAACTTTCCATAGGCCAAAACCACCTTGTGTGAAGCAAAAAAATCCATTAAATGTTTCATAAGTTTCTAAACAAGGACTAAATCACACTCAATTCACATTTTTAACAAGATACCAAAAAATTCCAAATATAAATTGCTATAATTAAGCTAATCCACACTTCTCTATAGAACCGACACAAAAACCAGACACATAATTAACAGGTTGGAATCCCGATTTGAGATATGGAACATTAACTCCCGGTAAAAAGCATCTCCACATAGGGAATGTCGCTCCCATCTAAACAAGAAAAACTATTTTTCCTAAAGTGCTCCTAGACATTCAATAAAATATATCTAAAGAGAAGAAAGAAAAATTCAGTTTTCACCGAATATCCTGAGTTAGAAATACAAATATCCTGCCAGAGAAGTTGCAAACTTTAAGTTTTACCCTTCAGAACAAGTAACCAGAATGATCAAGAGATACAAAAGCCTAAGGAATGGTGAATATACAGATACTATGATATCACGTCATGATCAAGTTGAGAAGTAAACTCCGTATCAAATATCAGTCAAATTACTTTCATATTTTTAAGTAAAATTCAGTCGAAATAATTTCGTATCTAAAAATTCTCCTGATTGTTTATTGGAAAATGTCTCAAAGCATTCTCCATTTGTACCAAATTATATTCAAATCAGGTTTTTCAATAAGATACCCACATATCGCACCAGAACCCATGCACAATCTAAACACATGTACATCCTCTATCACAATAAATATCTCAACATAAATTTCCAAGCAAAATTACCAAATACACAGCATTCAAGTCAGAAGCACCTAAACCATCAATTCTGAAAAAATCCAAAGAAGCTCTTGAATACTCATTTGAGGTTTCCAATACATGCAACAAGAAAGAGTCCCAAATATCCTTCCACTCCAACCCGCTCCATGAAGGCATAATCAAAATAAAATACAAGCAAATGTTCACAATCTACCAAAGGACATCACCCAAAACTGGCGTCCATAAAAGACATAATTATAAAATAGAAAAAAAAATTAAATATTACATAATATAGAGTAATCATACAGGCACAAAGATTTGAACAAAAGATTATTTACAAATTCATGTGACAGTTTATATAGAATTCCACATAAGATAACCTACTTAATTTTTCTATCCACGTCAGTTGTGATGTCAGTCTGTAAGAAGATTATTCCGAGTCTTTTTACTCAGCATTTCGTATAATATATGGATGAAATACTTTTTAATTTATATTTAGAACATTTCAATTTAATTATCTCGCATAACGGGTATATATTAATACAAATTTCTATTAGTAACATGATAAAAACTTCAATCTATGATTAAATTAAGATTTTTAGCCCATTATTAATGGAAATATGACGAATCATCAACGTATACCAATCATAGAAAATAATAACTCTTCTTTCACTTGTACTTGACTCAGATTTGGTAGCAAACAGCACAACTCAGTGTTTCGGTTTTGACTAGCCATATGACCAAATCAGACATTTAATTCTATTCTAGAAACATGATAGCAGAACATGCACATCCATAAAACATAAACTAAAATACAGAAACACCAACATGCAAAACCTAATTCGCATAATCGAGCGTGGCTAAACCAAGACTTGAAGTGTAAATGCAACCAAAAGATGCGATGATTAAGGTTTGTATAGACAAAGAGATAGCAAACCTTCTCAGGAAGTGACGCTGTGTTTCCATCGTCTTCACCAGCATTGGCCTTGTCGTTGCTGCGGCCTCCACTCTCAAATTGATCCATCGGTTTCTCCCCTATCTCCTCTTTTCTAGCCCCACCGCCACCAGCGGCCACTCTCAACCCTTCACCCAAATTCCTGTTATCCTCCTTTTCCTCCGATGCCGCTGCCGCTGCGACCACTACGTTCTCATTGACTGGCTGCTGCTGTTGCGTATCGTTGTTGTCTCTATCGGTGTTGTCAAGGTCTTTGTTATCGTTATTGTTAATGTTGTTGGCGTCGTTGCTAGGGAGAACTGCTGCCGCCGCCGCCGCCCGCCGCCTCCTAGTCCGCGTCGCAATCGCCTCTCCCTGCTCGATCGGACTCGGCTGCTGCTGCTTCGCTGCTGCCCGGACCCCGCGCGCTCCGCTACGCAGTACCGGCATCGTTCATTCTTCGATTCTCATCACAACAAAACCCTAGAATCTCTATCGAGACAAACGACACTTGTTCCCTTTCACTGCACAATCGATCAAAGAAATACACGATAAAGATCAAAGAACAAACAATTCAAATTAGTGGTAAGGACTAAATTGTGCGGAGAATGGTGTCCACATCACGAGCAAAAGGAGTATGAACAAGAAACTGAAAAGTCAAAAACTTTTATACATGAAATCACAAAACTGGAAAACCGATTAAACAAAAGAGATTAGGGTTTCGCTGATCGTTACAGTTTGGGGATCTCAAAAGAGAGAGGGAGAGCAAACGAGCTTTGAGTGCTTAGACAGAGAAAAGAAGAGAAATAATATTTTATTAGTAAAACAATTTTTGAAGGCTTTTTATTACTGAAAATTGAAAGAAGATAAATCGTTCCTTAAGACAGAAAAATTACATTTTATTTTTTCTAGAAAACAAAATGCTTTTAGATGAAAGTAAAAACTGTTTTTTATGTTTATGTAAGGACGAAATTATAAACTAGTATTTTTAAAAAAAATAAATTATAATGTGGATAATAAATAATATTTTCAACTAGTATATTTATTTATTGATGTTACTTTTTTATTAATTAAAAAATTAATATTTTCAAATTAAAATAATAATAGTTAATTTATTCAAATTCACTTTTAAAATATTTTTATCAATTTGTAGCACAAACACCAATTTATGTTGAACAAACTCTTAAGTCATTGCTGGCTTGTTACGTATTCATGCAGCAGTAAATTATAGAAGATTTACTAAAATAATTTTTCAAAGTATTTAGTATAATAATTACTATTATGTACTATTACCTTAAATTGCACCTTATATTTTTACCAATGTATAAGACAAACATCAACTTGTGTTGAAAGAACTCTTAAATTATTGTTGGCTCGCTACGTATTGATGGGTATTGAGTCAACTAGCTATCTAGAATTTCTTAATAAAAAAACTATCGGGTTGGAGCATTCCCGATCTTTTGACTTATGCGAGAGAGGCCTTAATAAGATAATCCAAGACCAACTTGTAAGGTAAGATGTTTTGGTGAGAGATGTGAGTACGACTGTAAGGCAAGATGTTTTGGTGAGTCCGCAGGGGCAAGGCTCTTGCCTATCGGGGCTAGAGTTGGCCATAGTAGATGGTCTGGTGATCTCATTTATGGTTCTATCCTTTTTTGGGACTATTTGCATTATGCGAGTCAAACCCCTGTTATAGAAGAATTACTGCAGTTGGAGGAGACTGTTCGGGGGGTTATGATGGGTGAAAGAATCAGAGCCAGGAAGAAAAAAGAAGCAGTGTCTGCAACAAAGTTTGCACGGAATTCCCACATGAGAGGACCCCATATGACATAGCCATGTGGATTTCCGGGACAGCGCTTGCCTTTGCTTTATTGCTGGCTATCGCAAAGAAAGCAAATCTATTCATGCATTAAATTGTAAAAATATACTAAAATAGTTTTTAAAAGTGCGTAGTGCAAAAATTATAAGGTATTTAGTAAAAATTACTAGTATGCATCATCACATTGAAAAATAAAATTATTATATTTGGTAATCATAATATAAAAATAAATTTAATCTTGAAATGTAAAAAATATTGGGAAACAAAATCACACCTAATATTTTTACTAATTTAAAACACAAATATCAGTTTGTGTTGAACGAACGCTTAAATCATTATTGACTCATTACGTATTCGTGCAATAAATTGTGAAACTTTACTAAAATAGTTTTTCAAAGTGTTTAGTGCAAAATTTATAAGGCATTAAGTAAAAATTACTAGTATGCGCTTTCACCTTAAAAAGTAAAAATTATTATATTCGGTAGTTATAATATAAAAATAGTTTTAAATCTTGATATATAAAAAAAAATAGGAAACAAAATCACACCTGATATTTTTTAATTAATTTGATTTTTAATCTTATCTTTTTATGTAACGTCTCATATTCCAGGAGTCACGAACACTATTACTTTCCATTCAATTTAATTTACAACTAAGTTACGATAAGAGTGCAATAGAAATTAAAACTTCATACATTTATATACCTTGCGACAATACTCAAAATGAATATATCAAATGTATTACATGAGGCATTGCCTAGAGTAAAATGAAATAATAGATCAAGTTTCAGGAATTAGGGTTACCCTCCTTATAAAAGAGACAATCATACACAAAATGAGAGCCCCTTCACTGCTCTTGTTGATCCTTAACTTACTTATGATTGTCTTGTTCTTAAAAGAATAATTTGGGATGAGCTACTCGTGCTCAGTAAAAACAACAAAGTAACCTAACTACAGACCATTATACTGTGTATGGGAGGTAATTACTTAAATTAACTAAACAATTATTAAAATCATCTCTAGTATACACTCAGAATTACGGTTTTTAGGTATCCTATTGTGAGCATCACTTAAGACGAAAAAATTTGTCTTATGTACTTGAAACTTATTTTCTTTTCGTAATCAAAAATGACTTCCTAAATTGTTCGTCTCATGCTGTCCTTTCGAGCGAGTCTACATGTATATTACCTATGGTTTGCCTTTCCAGCATTAATCTTTAAATTTTGTTTGTTTGTCATCCATATTCCTGCAAGCTCTTATACTCATTCATTTTACTTTAACGCTTTCGTTCCTTATCTTCACCAATCATGATTCGTCGTTCACATACTATTAAACTCTACGCTTCAATTGTGTCAATTTCTACATTTACAGTTAAAATTTTCAATTATAATTAATAGTATATGATTCACAACATCGTCTAAGATTTTTCATTTCCCAGTTCAGTTTACAGTTTTACAACTTACAATATAGTATACGGTCTTACAATTTACAGTACAGTATACAATTTTATAGTTCACAGTATAATATTAAATTTTTAGTTCACAATATAGAATACATTTTACAATTCACAGTACGATATATAATTTTTACATTTTATAGTGCATTATACGATTTTACAGTCCATAATACAATATACAGTTTTTTAGTTTAACATTTTATACCTTAAACCTTAGACACTGAAATTTCATTATACGATGTCGTTTTGATTAATATCAAGAGGAGTAGTAAAGATCCCTACTATCAACATGGATATGATCATAATAACAATATAACAGTATAATATAGTACGATTGATTTTTACATCCACAAGATGAGGTCCACTAATCGACCGAACTTCAATCAAACAAGCACCTATCCCTCTGTAGACATAGTAACAATATCAATACAGTTAATTTTTTTGTTCATGGGATGGAGTTCACCAATCAACTGAAAGCGGTCACACATGCAAACACCCCTCCATGAACCCAATAATAGTAATAGTAAAGTTAATTTATTTGTTCATCCGATGGGGTTTACTAATCAACCGAAATCGGCTACATGTATAGCCACCCCTCCGTGAACATAGTAATAGTAACAATACAACTTATTTTTATTTGTTCACCAGATGAGATTCACCAATTGACCGAAACCTACTACACATGCACCCACCCATCTGTGAACACAGTAACAGTAATAATACATTTGATTTTGTCGTCCACGTGATAAGGTTCACTCTGAACACCACAATTCCTCTTTGTTTTATATTCCAGTATTTCACTAAAATTGGAATTCATCATTATTATCTATTAATTTTAGAGTCATGTTTCGTTACTTTCCAACCCTTTTTGTCTTCGTACTATTTGTTTACTTACTTTTTAGGCTTAATGTCAATTCTTTAATTTGTTTAGTTCCATAGACATTTAATTTTCTAATGTCCCTCTATCTTCCTTTTTCTCACACATTTTCATTTATTTACCTCTATAATAGCATACCCTGAATTAAGTAAATCGATATATTATTCATTTACATCATGCTTGTAATTTTCCTTATTATGGTGTAACTATGTTATTCTTATAAACTCCCTCAATTTACTGGTTATTACTTATAAATTTCCCTAAGAACGACGTGCTTCAAATGATTTTATTTCCTTTATTTGTAGGGCTGGCCATTTATCTTCTTAGAGATTATATAACGACTCGCTTTCTCTAGAGAGAAATGAGCGTTGCCTCACACATAGTCTGATAAATTTTGTGTATCATTATGTTAATCCCTATGAATCAATAATACTCCCTTGTACGGAGTCATAATTCATGAAACTTATAACAATCTTTCGAAATTATATCACAATAATATATTCTAATCTACTTTACAATAATGTCTTAAGGTAGCTAAAAGATTCTTCAAAGTCTTCCTTTGATCTTGAACTCACTCATGACCTGAACTAATTTACATTGGGGGAGGGTGAATTGGGAAGAACTTTACAGACTCAATAAGAATAAAGTAGTATTCAAAACAGATATATGCAAATGCACATTCATAAAGGTTTAAATAAATGCAAATTTTATATTCATAGAAATCTAGTTTGCAAGACAACCATATTCATCATCATTATCGCTAACTATAACAAAAGAAACAATCAAGAACCACATCCCTTTTTATTACTCATTCTAACATATATCTAGGTACCGTACATATCTTTCTCATTCATAAATATCATCATATCGCATTGGATTCATATTCAGATAATTTCGTTTCGTTCACAAATACCATCAACCACCCCAGATATGTATCCATATCACTTTCATTTCCATGACATATTTTTATTTCCATTACTGGTATCACTAGGGGCCTATAGGGATCTCCGCTACACGTGGATATACAAAATATTTCTTTTATAATTCACTAACCGTTCTCATACTCCGTCCGGTAATGGACGCCATAATTATAAATCGTCTCAATACTCTATCCGGTAATGAGTGTTATAATTATAAATCGTCTCAATATCTCATCCGGTATGCGACTTCCCAGCTCCGTACGACTGAGGACACATTCACAGTGGAGTTCACCATATGTACCAAGTCCGTAAACTCTCTCCCATGATACACGGTAAGCTTTTTCCTATTCAAAAATTATCTTAACTTCATAAACTTAAACACCAATCACAAACATACATTTTCTTATATTTTCACATTTACTGACTTGTTCACGTATACGTTGTATATATAATTTACATGTATGTAGCATACATCATATTATAAATATATACATGCACAATAATATCTTAACTACCCTTACACATATTTTTTATATAATCATGTCTACCATTAAAAACTTACAAATTTACACTCACATTCATACAACAGCTTTAATCACTTACCAATACATACATTATATTATATGTGCCCATAAATACACACAAATGCATATGCACTTAATTTATGCATATGTCATCCTGCACACATGTATTCATCTTACCTATATACTGCATATATTTACCATATATCACATATATCTATACGAAATCATATACTGCTTATTCAAAATAATTACCCACGTAATCATATATATATGTACATCAAAACATCCATTTTGTAAATGTACACTCCCACCCATTATCTCCTATATGTGTATTATTTGGCACATGCACTTATATTCAAACACGCTCAATTATGTATTCATATAGCTTCAACATTATTTTTAATTACACAAACACAATCATAGAAAACCATTCACACACTTTCATATACGGATGATAATTTGTGAGAAAATATATTCTAAAATTATCCATTAAACTGGAGTCCATTTTGAAATTAATAAATTATTTTACAAAAACATGAAATCCTGGAATGAAAACTAACTCAATTCTTACCAAAATCTCCAGCGAGAGAAGAAATCAGAAAGCTTTCGAACAACTTTAGTTTCATACAGTCGGCTCCCTTTCCAGTTTCTTATTCCCAATTTTCTTAAAATTTTCATACACATGATTAAGAATTTAATTTAAAGTAATAACCGAATGTAAGGTGGAAGAAAATTTACCGAAATCAGTGTCGAATTTGGCCTTTCTACCCAAAAGAGTGTGATTTCGATCTCTCTCTCTCCGATTCCCTGATTTTTGGCCTCGCACGGATCTTTGAATAGATCTAGAACATCGTATCGTGGTCTGCCTCACGTAGATCAGGTCCACCCAACACGCGTTTTGCTTCTTCTTCTTCAGCAACGCGCGTCGCATGCCCAACATTGCACGCCACACGCCTGGGCACAGTGTGCTGCACACGTGGCAAGCGTGCCCATCACCGTACGTCGCGTGCTGCACGCCTGGCATAGCGCGCCCAGCACCACGCATCGCGTGCTGCGCGCCTAGCACCGCGTGTCGCGTGCCCAGCACCGCGTGCCCAGCACCGCGTGCCGCACACTTAGCATAGGGTGCTCAACACCGTATGTCGCGTGTTGTGCGCCTGGCATACCGCGCCCAGCATCGCACGTCGCGTGCTCAGCACCGAGCGCAACCCTTCCTTTCCGGTTGCATGCACCACTCGCCCTACCTCCTTCCTCCTCCTCCTCCTCCTCCTCCTCCTCCTCCTTCTTCTTCTTTGGCAGCGCGCGCCGTGCGCCCAACACTGTGCATACAACATCCTCTTTTCTGGCCACGTGCCATGCTTTTTTCTTTCTCATTCTCTCATCTTCCTTCTTCTTCTTCTGCTAGGGTTTCTTTTCTTTTTTTTTTAATTTTTTTCTTTTCTTTTCTGGCCTGGGCCTGGACTCCCTTCTCTCTCTTGAGCCTCGTTATATAGGTTACCTTAATGAAGGTGAAAATTTTAACATTAGAAAACCCCTTAAAATTCATGGGTTCACGTATTTGCTCTCAATTTTCTTATTAATGATGTAAATTAGATTTACTACTATTAAATTTTTACACTCAACCGACTCAACACCTATTTTCTTTAGTTATCTTATAAACAATAAAACTTAATATTTTTTCTTTTTTTTAGCCCAGCCTATTAAATTTACCAGTTGACCTATTTAAATTTAATTAAAATCAGTACTCATTTTTATTTTGACTCAACAACTTACCAAGTTTTAGTCTAACTTACTTGTACTACTAGTTAGTTCACTTAACTAATTTTAGTCAATTTTTGCCCAGTGTTTTGTGACCCTAATGGATTAAAAATGGTGGCAACTTTGATACAGTTTCACTCCCAAAGTCTTAAACAATTCTGAAATAAACCCTAAAACCTTAATACCAACATAACCAATTTCATTTTAAACTCACTAAAATGTTGGTTATGTCATACGCAACTGGTAAATTAGATATAGTTTTAGACCTTCCAAAATTTGATCGTAGAGTCTAACTAAATGTAAATTAACACAAGCATTCAGGATATTTAGATGATAAATTAACACATCTAAATATCCTCGTAGCAATAATATTCAATGGATAATTTTTAAAAAAATGAAATGGACAAACGAACCAAGGATATGGGGATAGGAACCAAGTTGTTATTACTCTTGATCTCGGTTTGAAGAGTCGCTCATGGCGATGTCAACCCCTCTCTGTCGTAACCTGCAGGTAGCCTACTCGAATTACTCAAATTTTTAGTTTTCCAAAGCAATAAATCAAGCTAAAACCTTAAATAGAGGGTGCCTTACCAAACATAACGGAACTCTTGGTAGCAACAACACTGGAGCTCCCAACACTCTTCTTCATGCGTGACCTCTCTTCTCAGTTTTCACTCCTCTCTCTTCCTCGTCGATCAGTTTCTCACTCTTTAGTATCTACTTAAAAATGTATGTATAAATATATATAAGGTGAGGTCAAATAACAATTGTTGGGTCTAGGGAATAAACCATGATCGTCTTATTTTAGGGTTTCATTAAAGGCAATATGAACATTTCACCGGGCCCTTTATGCAAAAGGGCATCCTGGCCATCCGATTCAGAGCATTCTTATAATTTTCTTTAGCTTTGGGCAAGATGGAATCCCTGTCATTAGATGGTTTCCGTCGGGCAATCCTAATCGTCCATTTTTCATTCTCACCTCCTTCTCCTCCGCGTGGTCCACATTTGGTTATTTTCTCCTCTATTTCGTTTTCGTTCTTCAATTTACCTATGCGGCTCATTTAGAGTCATTAATCGGCTTTCTCTCCCATGTACCTGCGTGGTCAACCCTAATTGGCCTCTAGAGACACCTCAACGACTGAGGTGTTGAGATTTCTTAAATTTATAGTTTTGCCTTGAATTTTGAGAATCTTTTCATTTTGGTCCTCCTAATTTACAGACTTTTCTTAACTTTCCAAATCTTTTTCGATTAACCCCTGTGTAGGATTTTTTTCTTAATTTTATTCAATATTTAAAATTTTAAAGTTATTTATTGGAAATTTTTGTATTCTTTCCAAGTGTAGTATTTCTTTAAAAATCGTTAACTTAATTAATCAACATTAATTAAATTTAGTGGTGAATTTTTGAAATTATTTCATTAAATTTGCACTCAAAATTTTATACACTAGTCCAGATTTCGAACTCTAGAAGCTTCTATTTCTGGTTCATTACAATCTCCCCCCTTCAAAAAATTTGATCATCCAAATTTATTATACATTTTTCAATATAACAAAGGGTATTCAGCTTTTGTCTCCTCTTCTTGTCCCCATGTCGCTTCTTTGTGTGAGTGGTGTTGCAATAAACCTTTACTAGGAGTATCATTTTATCCCTTCGATCCAGTATACGCACGTATACCTCTTTATAGGTCAGATCCTAAGTGCTCTTGTCAAATCATTTATCCTCATCATATAACCCCGCGACTCTTAATTTTTTTAGTACCCTCAGTGGCATGTCTATTTTTATATTCTTCCAAAATTAGTGCTATCAAGATTCTATTGCATAGGTTTTCTAATTTTTCTGAAATTAATTTCGAGGTTATGGAACGGTCTTTGGTATCATTGATGATTGACTACCTTCCTCTCAATAATTAAGTATCTAAAGAGTTTAGTCCCTCTAGTAAGTCATACCGGTCCTTGCACTCATCAAGGCCTACTTCCCTAAAGGTGCCTTGACTGATGTTTTGTTAACATTTCGATCATGATTTGTAGCGTCTATTTTTATGGGTCTTTGGTCACAACAATTTTGATGAGATATGTTCTATTTCCTAATCCCTTTTAGGTTTGAGTATGTTTTCTTTCTTCTAAAGAGTGCAAATTATTAAGCATAGATTTTTTTTAGATTGTAACATCATCATGAGGGATGGTCACCCTAAATGTCTGAAGGTAAAATCAATAAATCAAATAATTATTTGGTCTCGAAGTGTGACCCTCTTTAAGTGCCACTAAATTTTATTCACATATGCTATAGAAACTTATTTGAGAAGTCGGGTAGGGCTTGGGTATATGTTCTCATATCATGGTGATTATTCTAGAGTTACTGGTAGTTACTGGCAAAAGTTAGAGTCTACTTTATTGTTCAAGGGATCCTAGTAGATACATCTAAGGGCTAGGGCTAGTTTTTCTTTTCAGCAGCATCTGTGAGTTCAATTTAGTATGTTACCTTTTCCCCAGGGTACCTTAGAGATTAGGATGTTTGGTTATGTTTCAAGATTAATTTAGCAGGTTGGGGTTACTTACCTAATTCAGTCAATTTGTTATAAAAGTTATCGAAATTTCAGCGTAGAGAAAGGGCATCATCTTAATTTGTCTCATGGCGTGGTTATGTTCTAAGGTTAATTTAGCAAGTTAGGGTTACTTGCCTAATTCGGTCGATTTGAGTTATAAGAGTTGTCAAAATTTCAGAGTAAATAAAGGGCATCATCTTAATTTGTCTGATGGCATGGTTATGTTCCAAGGTTAATTTAAGAAGTCAGGGTTACTTGCCTAATTCAGTCGATTTGAGTTATAAAAGTTGTCGAAATTTCCGTGGATATACAGTTTAACTCTAGGGGTCTTACTTTTCTCTGGATCTCTAGTGAACTTAGAAAACATTCCTCTAGAGATCTACTCCAAGTTATTGCATATTCAAAAGTTGTCTTCATAGTCTTTATTAGGGTTCATTATCTCTGTAAAGGCCCAAAGCTAAAAGAAAATAGAAACATTGCATTATAGCAACTATAAGTATAAGCAATTTAAAAATTTATGGTTTACATTTCTTACAAAGTAAAGTTGGATACCCAATAGGGTTAAGAAAACGTCTATTTTATACTAGTTCATAGTAATGGAGTAAATGGTTAAAGCAAAAGAAATAAAAATCCTATAAGGTTAACCTCTACTGAGCAACTTTGATGAGATCCAGGAGGTAAAATTTCCTCCCAATCCTCATGTTGTTCAGGATTTGGATCTTGGTCTTCTTAATTTGAAATAGTTAAATAGAGGGGATGAGGTACACTAGCCTACTAAAAATATCACACTAATCATTGATACAGAAAATCGAATGTTGGTAAAAAAAATTATAAAACCACCAATGGAGCCATTTACTTTCTTAAATAACTTTATTTAACTTTTAAAAAAAAATGTTGTTTCATAATTACCCTTATGAATTTTAAAAAATGACCTACGAAGACAATAATTCGGATAACATTGAATTTCATATCCAAATGAGCAATAATAATAACTTATCTTCTTACCTGCTTATCAGTACCTCTGGAGGTCCATAGAGATCTCTCCTACGCGTAGACCCAAATCTAATTTATTGATTAACCAGTCATCCCCATATCCTGTCTAGTAATGGGCGTCAATCATATCACTGTCTCAATATCTCGTCCGGTATGAAGGTGAATTATCCTCCCAACCCCTTCCAGTGTGGGACTTCTCAATCTCGTTCGACTGAAGTAATGCCCATGTAGGATTTTTCCTATGTATCGGGTCCAGACACCCTTTTTCAAGGTACCAGATAAGTCTTTCGAACATAGATTCATATCATCAATCACTCACCAGCCACACACTAACATCACATTTTACCAATATTCTCTGAATCAGTTCAGGTTGGACAGTTAGATGGGTCAAGCATATAACCCTTTTCAAATCTTGAAGTCGTATTTGTTGCACAACTCCTATTACCCTGCATTCAGAAACCATTAAGTGAGCCAACATATCTATACTTTTTCTGCCGAACGCGTTGACTATTACATTGTTCTTGCCCGGGTGATACAAAATCTTAAAATCGGAGTTCTTGAGAGCTCTATCCAACGCCTCTGACGCATATTGAGATCCTTCTAAGTGAATGTATGCTTCAAGCTCCTACGGTCTGTATAAATATCAAAAGTCTCCTTATAC